ATCACTGCAAAGATTGTATATGTGTTGTTTGTATATACACTGCTCAAAAAAATAAGGGGAACACTTAAACAACACAATGTAACTCCAAGTCAATCACACTTCTGTGGAATCAAACTGTCCACTTAGGTAGCAACACTGATTGACAATCAATTTCACATGCTGTTGTGCAAATGGAATAGACAACAGGTGGAAAGCATAGGCAGTTAGCAAGACATCCCCAATAAAGGAGTGGTTCTGCAGGTGGTGACCACAAACCACTTCTCAGTTCCTATGCTTTCTGGCTGATGGTTTGGTCACTTTTGAATGCTGGCGGTGCTTTCACTCTAGTGGTAGCATGAGACGGAGTCTACAACCCACACAAGTGGCTCAGGTAGTCCAGGTCATCCAGGATGGCACATCAATGCAACCTGTGGCAAGAAGTTTTGCTGCGTCTGTCAGCGTAGTGTCCAGAGCATGGAGGTGCTACCAGGAGACAGGCCAGTACATCAGGAGATGTGGAGGAGGCTGTAGGAGGGCAACAACCCAGCATCAGGACTGCTACCTTCGCCTTTGTGCAAGGAGGGACAGGAGAAGCACTGCCAGAGCCCTGCAAAATGACCTCCAGCGGGCCACAAATGTGCATGTGGCTGTTCAAATGGTCAGAAACAGACTCCATGAGGGTGGTATGAGGGCCCGACGTCCACAGATGGGAGTTGGGCTTACAGCCCAACACCGTGCAGGACATTTGGCATTTGCCAGAGAACACCAAGACTGGCAAATTCGCCACTGGCACCCTGTGCTCTTCACAAATGAAAGCAGGTTCACACTGAGCACATGTGACAGACATGACAGGGCCTGGAGAGGCCATGGAGAACGTTCTGCTGCCTGCAACATCCTCCAGCATGACCGGTTTGCAGTGGGTCAGTAATGGCGTAATGCCTCTGATCTCCAAATTACAATAAGCAGTTTCCTGCCACCTACCCAGCTTCATCAGATCCTCGAACGATGAGTTCGATCTGGGAACTGTATCTGAGCAACTAATTGTAGTATCAGAAACTACCCTCTTGTAATTAGCTCTCGGGAAATATAAAGATTGATTTCCTTCTTCTCTCCATGTGAAAAATGACATTTTAGGGTGGGAGAAGGGATAGTCCTTTTCATCCAAGTTTCCCAGAGGGGGAGAGAAGGAAGGAGAGCTGTGAAGCTGTTAACTTCAACAAATGCAGAGAACTTGCAGAAAAATTGCAGATCCTTGGTGAGTTGGCTATGTGGAAAAGAGGGAGGAAAGAAGCACCAACCTTCCTTAACTAAAGTGGACGGGAAGAATTGCTCTTGAAGTGGGGGATGATGTGAGAGCTCACATGGTCAAAAACAAACAGTTTGTTACCAGGCCTGTTTGTTACTAAAGACAGATGCCACATTATATAGGTAGGAGAAAAATGAAAGAATGTAAGCCTTTATTTCACTCTAAATGAAGCTTACATTTTGATACCAAGTCACCTAGATTCATTTATAATAGCTTTATTGCTTTTGTACAATTTATTTAAAACTTTGCATAAATAAACTTTATTTATGCCTTTATCTGAAAATTTGCTGCCTTGGAATCGATTCTTCAAAGGGTTTGTTTGTTTACTTGTTTGTGTTGCCTTGTTAGCCAAGGGAAGCCTCACAGATTTCCCAGTGACAAAAGAAGTAGCCACTTCCCTCCATCCTCCCCTCCCTCTCCCCCCCACCTCACACACACACACTGAAATAAACAAATAAACACAATAATGGAATAATTAATAGCAAAAATAATCCCAGTAGAGGCAATGAAAGCAAGAAATACCTTAGTGACATTTTTCTTAGTGACATTTCTCCAGGACAGAGGTGTCAAACTTGATTTCATTGAGGGTTGTATAAGGGTTGTGTTTGACCTCGGGAGGGGGGATGTGGCCAGGGTGTGAGTGGTCAGCTTGATTTCACTTGTATTGGGGGCACCTGTGGAGGCCCAAGCACTCTGCCACTGAAAACGGGCTCCTGAGCTCAGTTTTTGGCTGCCATGGCCTCCTGAAACCCTCTGCCAGGGAAAACAGAGCTCAGAAGCTGTTTTCACTGGCAGAAGCTCCACAGGCTGGTCCTTCACTGTCTCCAGGGCAGCCCTGTGGGCCAGATCTAAGCACCCCATGGGGCCAATCCAGCCCCCAGGCCTTGAATTTGACATACCTGCTCCAGGAATAGCAGGACAAAGCAGATTTGCATGGCAAAATGATCTTATATGGCCCCAATGTTATGACTTTACATTTTCCCAATTCCTTTCATCAGTCTTATATACAGTACAGTTCTGCAATGAAAAACCAGATAACAATCTTGAGTATTTATAAGTAATCCAATTCCTGTTTGGTCTTTTATTCTAGACTAGCTCGATACTTGTGCTTCGCTACAAAACTATGTGGTTGGGCTTAGTTTTGGGGGAGGAAAACAAGGGGGGAAAATTCTGCCTCTGCCTACCAGCATCCATCAGTATTCATCTGGCTGGCATCCTGTCAGTGTGTGAAAGAGTTGAGGGCTGTTTAGAAACTGAAGCAGTATTTGCTCTGCAAGCAAGAAGGAGACAGCAAGGAGCCTGGGCATGGCTTAGCTCAACTGTTTTGTACTAAAGCTGCTTGGTGCTGTAAAACTGAATCTGAAACACCTCTCCTCTGCTTGTGTTTTGCATTTGGAACAGGTTTCTTTTCAGGTGGGGAGAGGGAGTAGAACTCCTTAGCATCAGAGCATGTTAATAATAATATACAAAATACTAATGCTCTGATGGTCATTTTGAAAAATCCTTTCTTAATGAGCACCTAGAAGCCAAGAGGAACATACATGTCAAATTTCAAGTTTGTAGCCTTTAGGGTTCTGGAGATTTTGTGATGATGTATAAGTAGTATTTAACTACTGGTGGGGTAAGACAACAGACAAAGAGACATTTTCTTAATTACAGGCAATTTTTATGTAGCATTTCACTATTGGCACATGAAGCAATTACTCTTCTCTCTATATGAAGCAATAAGATCTTCAGGCATCTACCCAGATTTTGGAATTAGTTTACAATTAGATAAAAGCACTAATATATGTTGAGCAAAATGCCTAGCTTAGGTAAGGAATATTTTTTTAATAAAGTTTTTTTTATTTTATATTACAATAAATCCATCCTTAATTCAAACACTGTGTAGACTGGGTACATATGTTTTGTTGTAACAATTATAATTTGGTAAGGAATATTCTTGAATGTCTACAGATCTCTATTTGCCATAGGACACCAAAATACATTTTCATCATTTGGGCAAGAAATTACACAGATTTTCAGAACTCTGAGAATCAGAAAATGGCAGCAGTAAGAATCAGAATAAGGTAGGACAGATGCCTCTCTGTGTTCATTTATTTTTCATCCAAGATGAAAAAATTATATCGTTTCCTAAGATGTGCCACAGATTAGTGGTATGTAGGAAGAGATAGGAAGTAAAAAGGAACGCTTCTACTGAATGACTTTTATTTGAGGGAGAATAAAAAGGGAAAGTAGAAGCAAAACAAAAACAAATGTTAAAACTTTTAAAATGCAAAAAAAGATCAATTAATTTTTTTAAAAGAAAAGATAAGAACAAATCTATCCCTTGCAACAATGAGCACTGTTCTGAAGTGTTTGTTTTATTAGTCCCAAAGATGACTTTTGAGATTTTCATTCTGTTGAATGGCAGTTATTGTAGATCTTGGGGTAATGAGCCTTCCTCTATATATAAATAGTATGTATCAATCATTCTATTTAAATATCCAGAATATTCTATGATAATGGTTATAGTGACACACTCTGGCTGATCTCTAGAACAGTGTTTACAGAACCTCCAGTGATTATGTGGGCAGCTATGGATTTGCCTTTCCCAACCTGGTGATCTCTAAACATTTCTAGATTAGTTCATTATCAAAATCTGAAATTGGTTGGGTTTTTGGATTCTGCTTCAATCTGAAAAAGGCTGTAATTTTTATTGATGGGTGAAAACACTTGTTTTACATTTGTTTTATAAAGTTACACTTGTCTTACATTTGACACCAGGGAAGAAATTTAAAAAAAACTTTTCTCATTATTGGAATACCTAACAATATATTGTTACTAGTCCACTCTCTAAACAATTTGACTACATTAAAATAATAATTATCAGCATTAAAGAAATTATGTATTAACTAATTTTTAAAAAATGCAATAAGCTCTACAGCTTAGTTTCACTACACATTAATTTATATAACTTGGCCAAAATAAATCCGAATGGAAAAAACAAATGCACTTTCAACAGAAAATATTTTATCGTTATAAAATCATTCATTAAGTATCAATCTCATGGAAGGTGTTGCTGTTTGCAAACTAAGGACTAAAAACCATAAGGAAAAAAAATAGCTTAATTAAAGACTATTATTGTGTATAGAAATAATGGGGTTTCTTCTATTACATTCATTTCAGGAGTTTTAATCAAAGAAAAAGGCAAATATTTTTGAGTGACTGTCATTATTTATGCAACATTTGCAATGCCAGATATAGACTGTAATGCACTTATTGCCAGCAATTTCTTCTAAGGGACAACTAAACCAAAAGCTTACTCTGCCCTAGCAAATAAACTAATTTCAGCCAGTCTAAACTAATATGTATTTATTAGGCAATGCTTTCTATGACTAGCAAAATAAGCCATCTGCCACCATATTTCCTGCTGACCCTTAATGAAAGGTCTATCAGTCAGAGAAGAGCTACAAAAGGGAAGGGAAGGGAAGGGAAGGGGGCAGAGTAGGAAATAGGCAATGTTTTAAAAGCACAGGAGAATCCTTGTTGAGAATCCTTGCTGACCAAATCTTGCCTGATAAGCCCAGTGGAATAGCTTCAAAATTAATGCAAAAAGTTCAATCAAATGCCTGAGTCTGCAAGCTCTGGAATTGTTTGGATGGACTCGGCCGACCCTTCCCGGAGAATCAGCCCTCGGCCACCGCTGCAACCCAGAAAGGTTGGGCGTCCTTACCTTGGAAGAAGAAAGCTTTGCTGCCGTTGTGCAGTCCCTGAACTTGCCGCACTCCAGCCACAGAATCCCCCAACTGCAACTCGCTCAGCACATCAATCTGCACCGAAGGGTCCACGCCAATGCTGAAAACTGAATCCAGAAAAAATAAAAGATTATCACGGAACGGGGGCAACTTTTCTCCCTCCGCTCTTTTCTTCCCCGACCCAGTTTTCTCCTCTCTGATGACCCGCGATCCCTTTGCTGCGAGACCTAGTTTAGTGCTGTCGATGGGCAAAGTTCTGGGGGTCGGGTGTTGGCCCCCAACTCTCCTCCCGACCTCTTCACTGGCGGAGACAGACTCCGGTCCTCTCCTTGAGAAACAAAAGAGCCGGCCGGATCAAAGGCACCGCGCGGGGGTTGGTGAAGAAGGGAATTGGTGGGGAACCTTCGTCTCCTTGCCCTTACCTGAGCTCAGGCAGAAGAGCAGGCACAAAGTGCTCGCTAATACCGGCGGGGACTCCATAGAACTGGAGAGGGAGCGGCGATCAGTCCATAGTCCTCCTCCGGAAGCGGATCGCGGTGAAAAAAAAAAAAAACCAATGCTCGAAACCTCCCGAGCTTTCTCTCGCGGAGGCGAGGGAAACCTCAGGAGAAACTGAGGCTCCTGCCGGCGAAGGTTAACGAGATCGAAACCAGCCCTAAAGCTGGCAGCATCCTCCCGGGCGTGTCAAGCCGAGAGCAGCAGCAGCCGCCCGACGCCGCAAAGCCCGAAACCGCCCCTATCCCTAAAACAGTGAGAATCAGAGGGGGAAAAAGATCCGGAGAACGCGTCGCGCGTGGGGCAGTGTCGGGAGCTCCCCGTGGCAAGCGAGGCGAGTAGCGAGGGGATGACGCACCTAAGGCGTGCCTAGCTCGCTCTCTCCCATCGGGCTTCCTCGCCAAGCCCCGCGGCCGTTACCAATAGCAGCAGCAGGAGTCTCTGCCGCCGCCGCTGTTGCCGCCGCCACCGCTCTGTCCAACGGCGCCGGCGAGGCTTCTGGCTCCTCCTCGCAGCATCAAAAGGGGCCGAGGCGGCGACAGGTTGGAAGAGGAGGAGGCGAGCTGGGGCCGGTTATGACAGGCAGGTGGGCGTCGAGAGAGAGGCGGCCTACGACACCGTCCGCGCCCCTCGACGTGCGCTTCGTTCCCTTCCACGGATGAAAAAGCTCCGAGAACCGGGAAATCCTTCTCCTGTTGGGCCTCTTTGAGGGCTTAGTTCCCGGGTTCGCTTTTCTGCCAAAGAGACGCAAAGCCATCTGCCACCCGCCTTCGTCCCCCATTCGGTCCTCGCACAGCGCACAACTCTCTATTGATGTAAAGCTGGAAATTCCTACAGTGAGACTTGAACCGTCTCCAGTAGTTGATAAACAGCCCAAAACACGCGAGTGTCTTGGCAAAAGATTAAAAGGTGATCAGATCAGGGAGACTTGACAGGTGCTTTCAATTTTTCTGATGCAAAGGGAAAGGCATTGAAAAAGAGGTAACAGAAAAGGATTCCTTCAGTGACTCCCAAAAGCTTTCAACCATGAAGGTCTAGCAGCCTGGGAAAACTTCTGGATTTCTTTTTTTTTGCTGTATCCAATTTTTCATGCCAATTAATTTTCAGATTACAGAAGGACAAAAGAATATTGACAACAGAAGACTGGGATGGAAAAAATAAAACCCATAGCTACTTTCAAAGATACTGGATAAGGGACGCTTTGTTATATATATGGGAAAGAATTAAAATAAACCATTATGTGAAAATACCTCTCTGCCTATCTCCAATGGAGGTACTAGTATATCCCAATGTTATGGATTTGAACAAGACAATAAAATACTGTATAAAGAATTAATAACAGATGAAGGCAACTTGAAAGCACAGATACAATTAAAAACACAGGGAATTGAAATTGGGTGGGTGGCCGTACGTTCAAATTCAAGCAAAACACAAAAAAGACAAGGAACAATTTGGATTTTATAATACACATCAGGAATTAGACAAAATTTTACAAGGAAGTGAAAAAAAGATGATTACCAAAATGTACAATTATTTATTGAAATTTAAAATGGAAGAGGAAACGGTTAAGGAGAGCATGATAACATGGGCTAAAAATTGTTGTCACAATATTGAATTAAACAATGGGAACGAATTTGGCGAACTAACTATAAATTAATGTTATCAGTCTCATATAAAGAAAATATTTATAAAATGTTATATCACTAGCACCTCCCACCGGCAAGACTTGCTAGGATGTTCCCTAATATGTCACCCAAATGTTGGAAATGTAACTTTAGCCAGGGAATGTATTTTCACATGTGGTGGACATGTCCTAAAGCCCAAAAGTACTGGTCTAAGATACAGACATGGTTAGAAGAGATGACAAAACTAAAGATTAAATTCAACCAGGAGACCTTTCTACTTGGAATGATAGAACCGACATGGAGCAAAAAACATCAGCATCCGATATCACATATCATTACAGCAGCAAGGATAGTCTTTCCCCAAAACTGGAAATCAATAATGACACCCACGGACCTGGCAATAACTAATAAAATCCACCAATGTGCAGAAATGGTTAGACTAACCATGTTACTAAAAAGTAAGGAAGGGGGGAGTTTTTTACAACTTGAAATATAAGGTACAAATGGTTGTATAAAAAGGAAGTAAAGATGTCTAGTGAAACCAATTAAACAAACAACAAGGGAAAATGGAAATAAGTATAAATGTATAACATTAAAAAGTAAGGATCTATGAAACAAGTTATAGATTTACTTGTAACAAATGACTTTAATTGACACTAATAGAAATGTACACTGCTATGAAAACATTGCAAAAATGTGAGAACATGTTTCTCATTTTTTTTAAATATATTCTTTTGTTTTGTTTTGAAACTTTCAATAAACATATTAAAAAAAATAATTTTCAGATGTTTGATGTACTTTTTTATGAACTTATAGTCAGGTTGTAAGCACAAGCCCCTACATTCTCCACAGCCTTTAAATTACAGGCTGCCCGTTTCCAAGGTTATCATTACTGCCTGCCTAGCTTTTAGCTTCCAGTGTTTGTGAGGCCAAATTGAGGGTAGCCAGTGTACAATCCAGGCTATTTAGTATTTAAAATTACACACAATGAACCCTGGGACTTCTACTCGTGAGACCACTAGTGCAACATATCCTGCTTTACTGGGCAGCATCATTTGTGAGTCACAGTCAGTGCATGGGGTTTGGAGATCTCTTTTCTGCTATCTCTTCCCTACTACCACAACTACTACCTCAACTACAAGCACAACTACAACCAAAAATAACCACCAAACCACAGCCACAAATAATCACTATCCCATCAATTAATACCACAAATGATATCCCTTTACTCATCAGAGACGTCATGGAACATGATCAGAAACTTCCAAATGCCATTTTATTTGGTCTTGAAGACACCAATGAATCAGATGATATCACCAAAGTTTGCAACATCATAAGCAACTCCAATAAAAACAAATATCTCTCCTGAAGATATCACTGAAAAAAACAGAGATGGCCCTGAGTTCAAATACAATGGCGGCTCGGTGGGCCCAAGATTTTGTAGAGTTGTTTGCAAAAATGAGTCCAGCAAACATATATTCATTCATACAATAAATGCCATTACTAAAACCAATCCCACCCATAACAAACTTCACTCAAGACCAGACTTATCCATACTGCAAAGAATCTGCTCCTGTGAACTCTACACAGAACTCAAAAAAACATCTAGACAATGGAGAGAAGGACTTATACATTGACTACCATGCTGATTGTATTAAACGTAAATCATACAACCCACAACTCAGCATCATCCAATTCACCATCTTCCAGAACTAGGCATACATGGCCCTAACTACCTTAATTCCAACTACAACTGGCCTTACATGCAAGAAGCCTCATAAATAAAATACCTGAAATTCTCCTCTTACTAAATACGGCTAAATTTGACATCATATTTGTCTGTGAAATATGGCTCAATGCATCTCTCCCTGACTCCATTACCACAGTAAGAGACTATCATGCTTACCTATAAGATCATGAAATCCATAAAGGAGGTGGTGTTGCTATCTTCTATAAAAAGTCCCTACATCTAAAAAACATCCAAATTACCCAGGAGCTTGCTCTTCCTGAGACCATCGTCTGTGAACTGTCCTTAAATATCACATTTCGATTCTTACTATGTTACAGAGCCCTGATTATGAAATAGAACATGTAAACAAGCTAAATTCACGACTAACATGGGCAACATCCTGCCCACATGCTTTTATCTTTCTTGGTGACTTCAATCTATCTCGTATTAACTGGACCCTAAACGAATGTACAACTGAATCCATACATGCAACCTTCTACAATGCTGTAACAAATCTGGGACTGGAACAACTAGTAACTAACAACACTAGACTTAACAACTACCTCGATCTCATCTTCTGCAACAGTTTGAATTCAATTTACAGAATACAAATTAAAGAACCCTTTTCCAACAGTGACCACAGCATGATTGACTTTTGTCTCAACATACGTCCTCACAAAAATCATCATAATGATGGAATACCCAATTATAACTTCAAAAAAGGCAACTATGATCTTTTAAAAAATTATCTCTCATCTCTTGATTGGCAAATTCTATTCACTGGATAATTCTATTCACTGTCGAAGACCATTACAACAAATTATTACTTGAAGTCAAAAGAGTCATCAAACTATATGTACCAATAAAAACTCCCCCCCCCCAAAAAAAACAAATTACCCATAACAATAAGGACAATCCAATCCAAAAAGAAATCCCTTTGGTGGAAAAACAAATCTGGACACTTTGCCGACTTTAAACACCGATACAAAACTTTATGCCACCAGATAAAGACTGTATGCACCAATTATCACATTAAACAAGAGGAAAAACTTCTAGGCACCAATTCCACCTGCGCTTTCTACAATTTTGTAAACAACAAACTCAAGGTCCATCCCACCCCTGAAAGAACCTAACAAAGACTGTAACAATAACACCATTAAAGCCAATCTCTTTAACACATTCTTTAGCTCAGTCTTTGTAAACAGCAATGGATCATGCCCAATATTTCCTAGTTAAAACACAGACAACTACAATGATCTAATAAATATCGATTTTACAGAAGATAATGTTGAAAAAGCGCTATGCAATCTAAAACCATCTCTATTTATTGGACCGGACAGAATATGTGCCTACTTCTTAAAAAAGCTATCCACTGCCATAGCAGAACCTATGTGCATAATCTTTGAAAAATCTTTCAGGACCAGCTCCTTGCCTAACCTATGGTCACAAGCCACGGTCATCCCCATATTCACAAAGGGAGACCCCAGCCTAGTTGAAAATTACAGACCAATCTCTTTATGCTGCGTCACCTGTAAAGTCATGGAATAAATTATTAACCAATCCATTATCCTCCACTTAGAGACAAATAACCTACTCTCTAACAAACAATTTAGTTTCAGAAAAAAATTACCATGTAATCTGCAACTC